TGAACGCAAGCCGCCAGCCCCCGAGGGAGAAACTCCGAGCTAAAGAAATAGAGAAACCATTGAAGGCAATACAAAAGAATTTAAAAGAGAAAAACTACAATTCAACTTTCTACAGCTGAAATCCTGGACGATGACGAGAGAAACAGCAGCAGCAGAGCACCCTCTTCTGCCTCCTCCTCTGCGATATTCTCTGATAAAAAGAATAAAAAAATTAAATAATTTTTATAAATACTTAAAATTACCAATCGTATGCATGCGCTGCTGCATACAAGGCAGCTCGAAGCGGTGAGGGGCCCCCCCGTGCAGCTTCGTTCTTCGGCGTCGGCAGCGTCTTGCGTGGTTTTTGTGTATTTTTCATGAATTTTTTTTTGTTTTTTATGAATAAAATGTAATTTTAAAGATATTTATGAAGGAAAATTACGATAAATGAACAAAAAAAACGGCTGATCGCACCAGATCAGCCCCACAATAGGATCAGAGGACCGATTCAAGTGTAGAGAGCAGAAACATAATTTCAGGTTTTCTTCTTTATTTTGAGGAGAAAACAACAAAAAAAACAAAAACAAAAGAAAAAATATGAACTAATTCTCTGAAAATTCGCTGAAACATGCAAAAAAAAGAAAAACAATGAATTCAAGTTGTATTCAGTTTCAACTGGGGTGTACATACACCTCAGCAGATGATAATACCGCTTTCTGCATAGAAACATTCGTTCTTTGTTTTCCTTAATTCCTTCTTCTTTATACTCTTTGTGTCCGTTTTTTTTCTGGTTTTATGAAGAGAAGATCACGCTTTCTCTAATTACTTTCCCTCCTTCTCTCCCTGGCGGAAACAGAAAGAAATACGCATCGTTCCTTGCAGCTGCCGATGGTGCCTCTCCGCGGCTCCGTCTTCTTTTCTGCTCGTCGCCGTCCTCTCTCCACTATCTTTTCCTCTTCAAACCTCACCAGTGTCCGTACACCCGAACTTTCAACAGCTTTCCTCCCTGCAGCAGCCCCTAGGCATTCTGCTGCTGCCTCAGCCAGGCCAGCAGCAGCAGCAGCAGAAGCAGCAACCGAAGTAACAGCAGCACAAAGATCAGCAAGAAAAGCTCCAGCAGCAGCAGCAGGAGCAGCGGCGGAAACAGCAGCAGCAGCAGCAGCAGCAGCAACAGCAAAGTCAGCAGCACCAGTGCTCGCTGACCCAAGGCCAGCAGCAAATGGAGTTCCTTCGTCTCCTCCCCCGCACATTCAAAAGCCCCCCCTGAGCTCTTCTGCATTTCTGTCTTGGCGCCACAGGCGGCTCTCTTCTCGCGCTTTTGCTTCTAGCTGCAGCAGCAGCAGCAGCAGCATCAGCAGCATCGGCAGCAGCAGAGAGAGTTGTAGCAGTACCACCAACAGCGAGAACAACAACACCAGCAGCAGCAACAGCAGCAGCAGCAGCAGCAACAGCAGCAGCAGCAGTAACCCTCGTCCTCAGTGCAGCTCATGTCCTGCTTCTTCCTCATGCAGCAGCAGGAACGGCAGCAGCAACAGCACCCCCACCACTCCCCCCACCACTACCACCGCCACCAGCAGCAGCAGCAGCAGCAGCAGCAGCAGCAGCAGTGTGGACAGCGTGCATCGTGGTTATTTATTTGATCGTATGTCTGACTCTCCACGTACAGATATTTCATCTTTTTATAAACTAAGTGAGTTAGCTGCATGCACCCTGAAGCCGGTGCGTTTGCCGCAGAGTATACAGCAGAAGCTGCTGCTGCTGCTGCAGCACGTGGGCAAGAAGAAAGATCTAGAAAAAATAGGAAAGCTGCTGGCGGAGAAAGCAGCAGCAAGAACCTCTGTTGAGCTGCCGCGGGTGCTGCCCTCGTTGCTGCTGCCTGAGGCGCAGCAAATAGCGAGAGAAGCTGTCGCTAGGAAGCAGCAGCAGCAGCTGCTGCAGCAGCAGCTGCAGCAGCAGCAGCAGCAGATGCAGGATGAGGAGGAGGAGCAGGATATAGATGAAGAGCAGGATATGTTATCTGCTGCTGCTGCTGCTGATGCTGCTGCTGCACTGCAGCAGCAGCAGAAGAAGCAGCAGCAAAGGAGCAGCAGCTCTGTGCTTCTGGGTCGTGACAGTGCAGCTCTGCGTTCTTTACCTGGATACAAAGAAATCCTAAAAACTCATATTGTTCCTTCGATAGGTTTAATAGAACAAGAAGCACTAGCAGCAGCAGAAGACAAAAGACATGCACTGTATAGACAGCTGATGGGGGGTCATTCCCCAGCAACAGCAGCTGCCTATACAGCCCATCGTTTCTCGGGTGTATATGCATCTCTTCTTCGTATATTAACCGAAATAAAACACAGATGTTCAGACTTTAAACCCAAAAGAATACTGGAAATGAATGCTGCTTTTGCTGCTGGGCTTCTTGCTGCGCATGCGGTGTATGGACAGCTGCTGCGGGGAGATGCAGCAGCAGCTCCTTGTAAACAGAACAAAGTCAAATACGCAGATATAGAAACACAACTATCAGCAGCAACAGCAGCAGAAGCAGCAGCAGCAGCAGCAGCAGCAGCAGCAGCAGCAGGAGCAGATGCTGGTGATGGTGATGATAAAGGGTTTGAGTTTCTTATGGCGGTAGAACCCTCAATGCATCTATCCAGCATAGGTAAATATCTTCTCTCTGACTTAACCCCCCAAGTACAGTGGCAGCTAGCTCTTTACGAGGAAGGAACAGGCTCCCCTTCTCCTGCAGCAGCAACACCAGCAGCAGCAGCAGGAGCAGCAGCAGCAGCAGCAGCAGGAGCAGCAGCAGCAGGAGGAGAGAGGTATATAGGTTCAGCCCCGTTTGACTTAATAATATATCCTCATGGGCTGCTGAGGAGCGTAGAGGGACAGCCCAGCAGACACAGCATGCTGCGGCAGTTGTGGGGTCGTTTGTGTGTGGGTGGTGTTTTAGTTTTATTAGAGAGAGGAACAGCATCAGGGTTTAGGGTTTTGCATGCAGCGAGAGAGATGTTTATACACGAACTCAAACCCCAAAACTTTTATTTTATTTCTCCTTGCCCCCATGAAGGTATCTGCCCCCTAGCAGCAACAGGCAGAGACTGGTGTCACTACACACAAAGATATTATAAACCCCCACATTATATTTATAAAAAAAACTATAATAAAAAAAATATAGATAAAGAAACCTTCTCCTTTCTTGTTATACGTAAAGCCAATGGACCCAGAAATATACTCAGAACGCAACGCACACTCAGCTATCAACATGCAGCAGCAGCAGCAACTGCAGCAGCAACAGCAGCAGCAGCAGCAGGAGGGGGAGGAGCAGCAGGAGGAGCAGGAGGGATATCAACAGCAGCAACAGCAACAGCAACAGCAACAGAACCACCACCAT